CTCAACCCAATACATAACTACATGTCACTCACAGAGAGTTTTGGTATTTATGCAAACAGGTGTGTTCTGAATTTGTAAAAAAACGTTGAAATTATCATGCCGGAAGCTTTTCATGAGTCCAATCAAAATCGCGCAAGCGAAAAATCTGTAAACCTTCGAGTAACGGCTAGTGGTTCACAGAAAATGTAACTGTCGAGGAGTATGATGGCGAAGGTATAGGTGGCGAAGAAAGCCAAGAAACCGGTAGGAAAAGGGTAATACTGGGTTCTTCAAGTAGTTCAGTCCTGAGGTTGTACGAGATCTTTAAAGGAAAGTAGAGTTAGAACGAGATTCCAGTCGCGTGCGTGTGCGCATGTAGCAGTTGTTTGTTACAGTGTCCCGCCTGCCTAAGGTTAGGGATATAAGCAATCAGCTGTTTCAAACCCAAATTGATTTGCCCTAATGTAAATGGTGTAATCTTCACAATTCGTTCAAAACACGTCCGCCGCCTTCGTAGTGGACGTTGGCAGAGCCAGTTTTCCAGCATTTGTTACTAAGAAGTTCAGATCCCTATCTAAGAAGTTCCTGGCTCCTTCCACGGAGCACTTTGTTGGCTGCCACAGCTTAGCCCTAGTTTGGGAAACCAAAAACCATTTTTTTCGTGGAGTACTCCTTTATTCAGGTCATTCCCTACATCTTATAAAGACCTCATTTGTTTGTTCCTTCAGCTGCTATCAACGTTACCCTTACTTAACGCCACTAGCAGCTCACTAGCTGCTGCTATACTTTCACGGTACGTACCATAATCAATTAAGAAAAGCGGCTGATTGAGGCTCTGATGCTGAATGAATTTCAGGAACAATTTTCAAAGAGTTTCTTGCAGGATGATTCTTCGACAACTACGTGATTTTCAATACAAGGATTGTGGGAATCCTACTTTTAAGCACCCTAAAATGCAGCTAGTCACTCCTATTGATAGTGACACTTTTGTGATTGCTGACGAGAAATCTGTCTCCGAAGAATAGTTCCCTCAGCTCAACTGCTACGACATCTATGAAGGCCGTCTTGAAGGATCATATTGCATTTACTGAAAACAGCCATTGTGCCTGTCAATGCCGGAACTCTTTGATACAAGAATTTTGTTATCGTAGCTTCTACCCTTAATTGGAATCACTTCAGCAAGTAACACATCACAAACCAATTAATTGAGCATTAACGTAAACGTCGTGAAACTTTGCTAATAACGTGTCACTTATGGTTGGCATAGCGTTCTTCGAACGAGCGGACCTCTTCTCAGAAGTGTTCAGATAACTAACGTTGAAACGATGGCCCCAGAAGTCAAAAGCTGCTCTGAAACGAGATTTCGATGGCAATTGCCGTATGGAATGTGTCACATTACGAGGATCTGTGCCTTCTTAGAATTGCAATGGAAAAGGTCATCTTGTCGTCCCTAGCCGTCGCCTGTTCACTTCACATTCCGCGAGTGAATGAGCTATTACTTCTGCACTGGTCCCGACCAGTCTACGCGGCAGCAAATTTCGGTCGCAGGAGCAGAGGAGACAGCATTCAAACGTTCGGTTTGATTCCAGCATTTATTTCCTCACTAGGATTTTGTTTTTTATTCAGTTTTTCCATCGAGATGAATGTTCACATGGGGGAATGCTTTTCTATTCGTTCATGTACGCTTCGCTCTTACAGATTGAGGCAAAAGGATATGAAGGGTGGATGAACTACACAACTGCTATCAGAAACCAGTGGATGTAGTAATTGTCAATGGTAAGCTGAATATTGACAAAAAATTGTTCTCCAATGAAAATGAATTTAGGCCTGATCAGAATTTCCCCGATCACTTCACCTCTAGCTTCACACTTATTTACGTGGGAACTCTTCTTGGATACTTCATTTCAACACTAGTTGATTCATCATTACTGAGAATTTATCAGTAAGCCTTTTACCACTGATCTGATTAGCCCGCACTCTGACGCGTGTGTCGCAGTTAAAAACAAGCTCCACCCCTCGACCATCTGGATATAGAATCTGGTGGTGGGTTATAAGTTCATTTAAAAAGTTAGGCAACGCTTAGCTCACCGGGGACGAGTCTCCTTCGCCTGTTTAGTTGACCCTTTCCCAGACTTTACCAATTTAATCGATTGCCTTGGCTTCGAAGAACAAATTATGAAAATTTTCTGATTACATCGGGTTTCCATAATCTTTTGAGTTCTGAGACCTTGCCCAAAACTCCAGCCATTCCGAAGTCAACACGAATTTTCCAGTATCAACGAATTCTGAGCCAGATAGACAGACAGAAATGAATTCTTTACATTTAGCAAGTGATGATGATGACTTTATAATTAGAACAATCTCAGAACGTTTGGAATATTTTCGTACAGAGATGTGATTTTGTACAAAGTGCATCCTCTCGGTTTCACTGCTATACTCCATGTTCACAGAAATATAGCAGGACAAATTTCAAATCCTTTCTTTCGATGTACGGCAAGATGTATATGAGCGTTGCCTTTGAAGTACAAGAGATCCCGAGTGCTTGTATATTCATAAGTAGATTTAGGAAAACAGACTGACCAGTGCTTCATGGAATTCGGATTGTAGTAATTCCTATGCTCGTATGCACATTCATATTTATAGTCAGGCTTACAACTCAAAATGATTCCGAAATTTCGCAAAGCCAAGTAATTGCTACACAAGTAATTTCAAGAACAGAAGAGCAAGGTCTTTAAAAACGTTGGTCAATTTCGCCTGTAGGAATGCGTATATGGCCTATGCAACGACTTGAAGTGGGTCAGCCAACGTACAAGTCCATGCTTTGATCCTCCCAAGGAAGTCTGGTACCGAATAATTTGTATTCGGAGGGATGAAAGTCATGGTTAGCCAAGGATGATGTCGATACAGGGTTCGAACCCGTGTCCTGCGTGTAATAGTGCGATACTTGTCACTACCTCACCTCTGCGCTTTATACGAACCCAGAGAAATACATGGGCCATCTGTTATGCAACAAAGGGCACCTCAAAATTGTCGACAAACGGATGTTTTCCGATTACATATACTTCTTGAAGTTTCGTGCTTCAACATTGTGGCGGGACACCTTAACAGTACTCTATGGAAGGAACACACTTTGATATACTTTTGTGAGCCTAATGAACCCAATGATGAAAAGGTTTCGTTTTCGCATCTCGCATTTCTTGATTAAAGCTTTTTTAAAAATACCATTTGAGGGCAGAGGCAACATACCATTTAACTACCAACTAAATGCGTAAACATGTCTTTAATGACACATGCTTAGATTGCAGACTAGCACAATTTTTTCAAAACGTCCTCCTTTTAAGAAGGTGAAGCGTTGTGGCATTAAGGTTTTGAAGAATACTGGTCATGCCACAGATGTAATGTTGAAGTTCAGTGTCCAAGCTCTTATCGTCTTTTATAAATTGCAACCGGTTTTACACTCCTTTTCAAAATTTTCCATTTATGGCAATTCCCTCCTAGGAAAGTGAGGTCAGTAGGTTACTTCAGGAAGGAAGAGTTGCTTGACAGTCAGTTCAAAGATACTATGTTTTTTTCGTGTGTGCAGTAACGATAGATGCTACCAGTTCTCTAATATTGGTGAACTACGGTAGATTAGAGAGCCTTTCATGTTTTTTGCTTTGCAGCTGATTCTACTTATGGCAACATCCCAATCACAACAGCTGAATATAACTGAAGTTTACTGTCTCGAGGTATCGATAGGTTCTTGACTCTCCTTTGTTTTTACAACTTCATTTTAAATTAGCGATATTTCTACGAGTAAAGTGAACGAATAGGATCTTTTAATGTCACAGACGTACGTTTCATATTAAATTTATGTCCTTATGCTGCAGTATATAAAAGGATAAAGGACATTATGCGTTGTGATAGTGCCACTTGCCAATGCACTACCTCCGCCGGCTGCTGTCGGTGTGTGTGTGTTTGACCGAAATTTATAATTCCTGAGCCTAAAACGCTCCATTTTGGTGAAACACAGTGGTAGGGATTGATAGCAACTCTTAGAGATTGATAACGAACCTCACTGATAGACGAGAGCCACTAGGTCTATAACGCTCTTCATGGTAAAAGTGAGGTTGGCACCGGTCGCAGGTACTATGTGACAGGAATTGATAACAACTCATAAGAGCTGACGAGAGACCTCAGAGAGCAAGGTTCACTCACCAATTCAATCCTGACGCTGTGATATTTACGGTCTAGTACTACTAGTTTTGACTCATTGATATGTTTTTTTGAGATAAGATTGATAGCAACTATAAGAGATTGATAATGAGCTGTAGAAGGCAGTTGAGTGCGTGATAGGGATGACTAAGGGTGAACATTTGAGAACTTGGTTAATTCTTGTTATTAAATTATGACCGCTACCAAGCAAGTTTTGTGAGTCAACGAGTGATCACAATTTCTCTCTGCTTCGATATCATCCCCGACGAAACTTATCTGATCGCCTATAATCTGGCATCCTCAATCAATGATATATCCGTAGAGGAAGGAGGCTCTATTGATGACGACGTTTTATAATGATTTTATTATCACTCTGAGCACCATTCAAGGCTATTGTTGCGTATCATTTGATTCTTTGATGGGTGACATTTTCAAGGCAAAGAGCAACAGAATGAGACTGTTAATCATTGGCGTAAAAATCGTGTGCAAAAAAGTAACATTCCTTCCGAAGAAGAAGTGGTCGGTTGAGTAATTATTACAGCTTTGTTACTGAGTTGTTTTCTTTAACTCTTCACGAGGTTTGTATACAAGCTTTATTAGGCTGACGTTTGGGCGGAGTCGCCTTCTTCAGAGCCTAGAGAGACCATAGCAATTCATGACTATCCGACCAAACGACTCCACTGCCACACTGAAGTTCGAGACCCCCAGGGCACGCAGGTGATTAAAGGAGAACCACTCACCGTAGCTTTGTGGATTCTTTGAAACCAACNATAATAATCGACCAGTCTCAGTTGAGGTAGGTCTTCATTCAGAGTCTCTATGGGAAGGCCAACTTTATATAAGGCCGCAAATCCCGCGTGATTTATTTATGTATTTATTTATTTATATACTGCACTCTTGGTGCACCAAAGCACTCAGACAGATGTACTAGTAAGCTCGAACACAGCGAAGCAAAAATAAAGAGAAGAAACACAAGATTTCAAAGCACCAGCTACAGCATGCAACAATCTAAGAAGGCAGTGCAACATTCCCCTGACTAGCTGAAGCAGACAAAGAGAGAAGAAAAAAGAGAAATATCCGTCAAGCCAAAAAGCAAAGACGAAACAACATGAAAACGGCAAGAGGCAGCCATGTACCCAGGATATGAATGGAGCATGAATGCACCAATCACTAAATAGTTAGCAACATGCATAGAACAAGGTGCACAGTCAACCTGGGCAACGCAACCGACGCACATCGTACAACGATCGCCTATGTACAAAAAACGTCAGCCTAATAAAGCTTGTATACAAACTTTGTGAAGAGATAAAGAAAACAACTCAGTAACAGAAGAATTGTGCCGAGGTTCATAGAAAGCCGTACGTGGAAGTTATTACAACTTTGTTTCAAGAAGCAGGGAAGCTCGATGCCAGCTGAGTGATCTTGCTAGTTTTGTTGTTAAGACTTCTGATAGAGTTAGCAACTCAGAATTCAGTCATGTGGCTGTCGAAATTTTCAACAATACTGTCTCTTTTAACTCAGGGATGAGACTTCGCCCCTATCTGCAGCTTAAAACCAGTGAGTATAGGTCTTGCCCCGAACGGCCTTCCTTAGTTCCGTTTTCTCGTTCTCACTGCCCTTTCTGACGTCTTTTTTCTAAACTGCTCTGACTCTTCTTTGGTGACGAGGTTGAATCGTCAAGATATCAACGTTATATGAGCCTGTGTGTGATTTCTGACATAAGTGTCAGAATGAGTGCACCACTTCGGAGGAATTAATTACCTCATTATGTGAGTTTAGTGATTATCGCCATGAAACAAAATGATTCGCAGAACTGCCGTCTGATATCATC